TTTCATTATTTTTCATTTTCATGACTCTAATATAGAAAATCCCTAGATGCTATACAACAGTGTTACAATACTTTGTACCTGTCGGCCACGGTACTGAAGAGTACGTTAGGAGCAGGGTGAGAAGGTAATAGTTACCGGCGGCGGGGGACGCTGGTCCCGTCCACCTGCTCCCGAGCGTACGGCAGATGGGCTGCGTGCCGGCAGGAACAGCTCAGAAAACGGCCAGCAGTCGCTGAAAATAGTGAAGGAAGAAAAATTAGTTCAGCCCACCGAACCACGTTCAATATAACCATGTTAAGGCGGAGACTGACATCCGTATATGCATGTGTATCTACTAAGCTAGTGTCCAAAATAAAATCACCAAACTTCTATTAGTTGGGAAAGGCATATGCATCCAATACAATTTCAGGCGACAAAATAAGAAATATTCTGGATGAGGAAAGCTGTCTGATATTGATGTTTACTATCATTTCTTAGCACATTTTCGCTATCATTTCATATCATGAAAGCATTGAAAAAGCCCCAAACAAACTACGTGATGAGTCCGCCTATTTTTTGGTACCACCAATAAATAGCTAGAACCAGCATACAATACAAAACAAACAACCCCGTCATTTTGTTACCTCACAAATATCAGTGTGCTATGGAATAGGGTTGATTCAACTTTTACTAAATTAAAAGAATAACCAGAAAATTGACTTCGAAAATCCAGTTTAATGCCCTGGCGCTCTTTGGCTGCGTAGATCCTTGTCGACGGCTGGTTACTTCGTAGCCTTGCTGAAATTTAAAATCTTACCACAAAAAGCAAAATCGTACGCGTACGCCGAGTGTAGCTGACTGTTCTAGCTTACCGGTGGATCAGACGGCGGCGGTTGTTCGTCCTCATTTTTGCATATTGTGATGGCTGCGCTGGAAAACGGGAAAGTGAAGTTGTCGTCTCTGCTCTCTCCTCGGCAGATCTCTTTGTTCTGAACAGGCGATCCTCACTTCTCAACACTCTCGGTCTGTAGCCATGGCGACGGCTATCCAGCTGTCACTCACACGGTGTGCTATGTCGCGTACGCGGTGGAAAAATTTGGCATTCGTTTGAGAAAATTCTTGACAAGACTGTATTTCTTAATCAGGCGGCTTTCTGTACGTATATGGCTATAGTTTGATGCTCATTCATGAGGGACGTCGACCAAAGGATTGAGGGATGGAGAGAGAATCGTATTCACATATAACCTCCAAGCAGATCCTTATCGGTGGCAAAAGACAGTATTCATTAGCCATAGGAGTTTAGCTTAACTCCTATGGCTAATAGATACTGTCTTTTGCCACCGATAAGGATCTGCTTGGAGATTATTCACTTACACTGTATTTGTGTGACAGTCCCGACCACCTCCAGAGACCAGGGTTGGGAGTTTGTCGTGAGTAAGGTTGGATGTGGTTGGCAGTTGGCCTGCAAGGTTGGCTACCGGTCGAATGCGTCGGCCTATGTTTCATCGCACACGCAAACACGCACGGACGCACGCACACACACACACACACACACACACACACACACACACACACACACACACACACACACACACACACACATGCACACACACACAAATTTGACTCAAATTTGATTCAAGTCGTATAGACAGGCAGGCGTAGCCTAAATCTGATCAGACTGCACCCGAACTCTAGACAACCTTGGTTGGTTTGCGGTCGGGGGAAAATTCTGAATGTGTGACAGGGGCTTCAGCTACATACTGCTGTTCAGCACAAGGATACTAAAACATACCTTCAAAGCAGAAGTTGATGGGGGAAGATCGTTACCATTTTATATATTCCCCGTTTTTTGTCGCTACCCCCACAAAAACGGGGCATATATAAAAAGGTAACGATCTTCCCCCACCAACCTCTGCTTGGAAAGTAACGCAAGCAGTTTTCCACTCGTCAGACTATTATACAGCTTGATTAAACAGAAGAATCTAAGCTTAAGTGCGGAACAAATCTCCCGAAAATGCATGAATGGCTTGTTCACCACCACACACCAGGCAACATCAAAGAAGTTCAATCTCAGCAGAAAATGTTGACAATGTCTGGTGTAAACGGGTGTTATTAAAGACGTAATTGTCTGGATTACGGGGTGTTTTGTTGTTGCAAACGTACGTGCCTTCCTAGCTATAGGTGTGTTATTCAGGGTTACTTTATACGTGTCCATAGAACTGAGTGTTACATGTGTTCGGCGGATTTTACGCCGGGCGCTTGATTTGTACCGATTTTAAAGCTGCATTAGGCCATGTTGATTTGATTATATGGATGACATCCTCTGGGAACCCCAAAACTGATGCGAGCGTGCGAATAAAAAAGGTGTTTTGCAAAAGTAGTCTCCATTATGAACTCTGCGTGGTCATAAAGGTTGAACAAATGACACAGAAGTATAGTTTGGCGAATACTCTACTCTTCAGATTCATTTCTTTAAATTTTCGTCTTTTTCCTTTGATATCGGCATTCTACGACATTGGTATCGTTTTCAAATATTTTTTTTTGTAAATGTTTTGTACAACAGTATGGTTGAAAACTTCTTTTTTTGGAAACGACCGAAAATCCATGCGTGTGCGGATGTCATCCATATAATCAAATCAACATGGCCTTACGGGCACATTACTTCAAACAGTAAGAGGTTAGTTGTGAAGTGTAAATGCTGCAGATATTGTATGATTAGGAAACCTTATGATAAACTGCTGCAAAATGTGGGGGGAAGACAATAGCTTACTAAGTACTTAGTTCTGGTTCATAAATACCTGCTGGTCATCTGGGAGGGTTCTGCAGTTCGTTGCTGCTGGGCCAGGTGACGCTGCTGAGCTAGAAGTAAGCAACAGGTGTCAGACTCTTTAAAATTAGGCCTTTATTTACGTAATTGATATCTGCTGATGTCGTTTTGTTCTCAATTACATGTCACAAGTGTGTTCAGCCTTATCATGGAACACAGTAATTTAACATAATTTCCTCCTTGATTATGCAAATTAGAACTTGCAGTTCTAGAGGCTCCGAGCTGCGAACAGCAGTCAGACTTTGGTCTCCAAAGTCGGTCTGGTATTCGCTGTGTCTCTTCTATCCTCTACCTGTCTCCTGTCCTCTGTCTGCTGTCTATTGTGTCTCTTCTATCCCCTACCTGTCTCCTGTCCTCCTCTGTCTGCTGTCTATTGTGTCTCTTCTATCCCCTACCTGTCTCCTGTCCTCCTCTGCTGTCTATTGTGTCTCTTCTATCCCCTACCTGTCTCCTGTCCTCCTCTGTCTGCTGTCTATTGTGTCTCTTCTATCCCCTACCTGTCTCCTGTCCTCCTCTGTCTGCTGTCTATTGTGTCTCTTCTATCCCCTACCTGTCTCCTGTCCTCCTCTGTCTGTTGTCTATTGTGTCTCTTCTATCCCCTACCTGTCTCCTGCTCTCCTCTGTCTGCTGTCTATTGTGTCTCTTCTATCCCCCACCGTGTCTCCTGTCCTCCTCTGCTGTCTATTGTGTCTCTTCTATCCCCTACCTGTCTCCTGTCCTCCTCTGTCTGCTGTCTATTGTGTCTCTTCTATCCCCTACCTGTCTCCTGCCCTCCTTGGTCTGCTGTCTATTGTGTCTCTTCTATCCCCTACCTGTCTCCTGCCCTCCTTGGTCTGCTGTCTATTGTGTCTCTTCTATCCCCTACCTGTCTCCTGCCCTCCTTGGTCTGCTGTCTATGCATTGTGTCTGTTCTATCCCTTACCTGTCTCCTGCCCCCCTATGTCTCTCTCTCTATATATATATATCCCCTACCTGTCTTAAGATCATGACGTCACATGTGCTGATCAGTGCATGAGGTGGTAAGGAAAATGGGATTGCATGGGGCATTGTATGGGCCTTGTTCAGACTACGTTGCACAGTTCACCGCTTGTGTGTTACACCGTATACTTGTGTGTCAGAATGCCGAAGGGCAATCGAGAACAACCGAGACGATAGCCCGGCATACATGTACTTCAGGAATGAACATTGACATTGTGTTGCATGTGGTCTACCCTGAAGGCAAACTCCAAGGATCGGTAGCTGTTCCCGGTCGCCAGGAAACGTAGGGTAATGGCAAGTTTTAGGCGTGCTGGCAAGGGCTATTTAGCACTGCATAGAATTAAACAGAAGTGTTACATACAGACTGGACTGTAATATCTAAATTTGCTGTTATTATAAACCATTATGGATACATTGAAATGTGTCAAGAAGTAGAGGGCATTCACAAAAAAAAGCACTTGCTCTGGACTTTTCTCGATGGATGGGCCTACACGTTGTAGGAGGTCGTGAAACATCTGTGGTTCCAGTTGTAGAAAGGACTTAAAGTCGCAATGATGTTCGCGACAAAGCTCCGTCATCAGTGTTCGTACACGACAGGAGCCCATCGGGATCCCCCTGGACCCCGCCAGGGACCTGGCAGCTGCCCGGCCGAACTGTAAGAGCCGGTCGGCACCCTACCACACGCCGCACGGGTCAAGACGGGAGACTGGCCGGGCACCGGACGGGTCCCTGACAGAAACCGGCCACCAAGGGGACCAAAAGTTTATGAATATTAATTAGAAGACCGGCCGTAGCACAACCAGGCCCCGACAGGGAGCCGTAAAGGAACATTTAATTGTGACCCTGACAGTCGGCGCACGCTCGGCGTCATGACGCCGGCCGGCGTCTACACCGAGGACATGCCGAACGGGTGCCGTTTCAAATGTGACCTAAGCATAAAACACGCCGACAGGACCACAGCCAAACCCTTACAAACTCTGACAAATGACTCTGGCACCTTGCTTTGCTGCACCACTTTTATCAAAGTAGTCCCGTACCATCACCATTAAGACTGTTTCATAAGGACATGCAGACGACATGTCGCAAATTGACCGATGAAATCAACCACTCTCTGACGATTGAATTAAGTCAGTGTTATTTTTTAAATTTTGTGTGAATTCATAAACTAATTCACACCTGTATGAGAGGTGTAGAGATACATTTTGATAATGTTCCTCTTGTCATTGAATGACATTATTATATTGGTGCATTACTAACACCTTGTAGATCATCAAATTATACCCAGATCATCGGGCCAGATGTACTTCAAAGATTTGCTATCTATATTCTTTTTTTCTACTTCAAAAATTTGCTATCTATATACATGTATATCACCATTAAAGATGTAGTAAGGACCCCCCCCCCCATGAAGTAAGATTGATCTGTAGCAGATGTCACTCAAAAACTGCATACTGTATAAAAATGATTAATAAACTGGTGGACAAACTAAGTAGCTAATACCTGCACTGGAAAGAACTACAGATTAGTTACATTTGTATGCCTTCATATCAACTTAGGATTTCAAAATATGTATGTTCCGACAAGAAGTAATGCAGAGTGGAATGCATTAACATTAAGTTCTGTGTAGGCAACCTTACAATACAATACATGTCTTTGAGATCTCTGAACTCTTGTTTTTACTTGATTTTATGTTCATGTATCAGTTTGTCTTGTTTACACATGTCCTTGTTTCTTTTACTACACACCTTGTGTATATTATACATGTACTTGTGATATGTTTATGCTCTGAATATGAATAAAAATTGTTTTAAAAGTCATTCTTTCCAGTGGAGAGATGTATACAGAAATATAAATGTCACAACTTGAGGAACTTCTTCCCATCTTGGTTCTCCTTTTCTCCTTTCTGATGTGCTACCTGTGCCGCCATATCCTCATCATACATCTCCCATATTTTGCATATCAACTTGCCGACATCCCGCCCTTCTTTTGCAGAAATAGGCATCACCGGCGTGTCCACGTGTTGTTGTAATAACCTAAGTTTCTCTGAAGTCCCAGGCAAGTCTATCTTATTTGCCACTACTTTGCAACTTGTTGGAAATATTACTACACTACTTTGCAACTTGTTGGAAATATTACATCAGGGAAGGGGGACGGGGGTGGTCTTACAATAAAAATTGTTTTAAAAGTCATTCTTTCTAGTGGAGAGATGTATACAGAGATGTAAATGTCACAACTTGAGGAACTTCGTCCCAGATTGGTTCTCCTTTTCTCCTTTCTGATGTGCTACCTGTGCCGCCATATCCTCATCATACATCTCCCGTATTTTGCATATCAACTTGCCGACACCCCGCCCTTCTTTTGCAGAAATAGGCATCACCGGCGTGTCCACGTGTTGTTGTAATAACCTAAGTTTCTCTGAAGTCCCGGGTAGGTCTATCTTATTTGCCACTACAGCATGCGGGCGGGAAGAGAGACCAGGCTGGTAGAGCGCCAACTCGTGTTTCAGATGGTCGAGCTGTGTCCAGGGTTCCGTGACGGACAGGTCGATAACAAACAGGAGAAAGTGACAGCGCTCGATGTGGCGTAGAAAGGAATGGCCGAGGCCCTTGTTGAGGTGAGCGCCGCGTACGAGCCCCGGGATGTCTGCGACTGCTACCTGCTCGAAATCTTCATACTGGATGATCCCGACGTGGGGCTTGAGGGTGGTGAAGGGGTAGGCTGCGACGGTTGGCTGAGCGCGTGAGATGGCTCGCAGTAGCGTAGACTTCCCCGCGTTAGGAAACCCTACCAGCCCTGCATGTGCGATGGTCCTCAGCTCCAGGTCAAGTACACATTTCTCTCCAGGCTCACCCGGTGTGGCCAACATAGGAGCTTTGTCCTCATTGGATAAGAAGAACTGGTTGCCTTTACCCCCTAGTCCTCCATGTACTACAACCACTGTCTCTCCGTTTCTCTCCAGATCTATCACAACATCGCCGTCCTTCTTGATACATGTTCCCACAGGTACTGGGATGACTGTATGGGAGGCGTTCTTGCCGTGACAACTATTATTGCGCCCCGGATTACCGCTCTCTCCCCTGTAGATACTCTTCACCTTAGCCAAGGACTTCACCCTCTTGTCAGCTTTGATGACGATGTTCCCGCCGTTCCCGCCGTCCCCGCCTCCGGGCCCGCCAAAGGGCCGGGCGAACTCACGGATGAAAGCGGAGCAGCCGTTACCCCCCCTCCCTCCTTCAACGCTCACACGCCGCCAGTCCACAAACGCCTTGGCTTGCTTTTTCTCGCTGTGCTTGCTGGCGTAAGTCCTCTGAACCTGCACCAAGACTGTGTAGATGCGTCGCGAGTTGCATAAGCCATGTGTTGTTCTCATTCCCTGTTCTAAACTCCACAGAATCATGGCAGGAACATACATGGTATACATGCACGATATGAGATGACATGTGCTATGACCTAACTATGTCAAAGTTCACACTCGGTATGATGTGGTATAGCCCGGGGGTATCCATAATCGTGTTCAATATGAAGTTCATATCTAGGGTCTTAAGACCAACATTTGAAGCTAAAAATCTTTTGAAACTTTTTAAAAAATTGATTAGATTTGAATGAAGGCAAACTTTGCTCAGCCTGCAGTTTTTCTGTAACATTTTACTCTTTTCCTGAGATCCTACCTCCCCGTATCTTCCTAATAGAATATTCCATTTACCCATTTTCTGGTGACGTAGACACAAGCCCACATTTCGTGTTGCCAGAATATCGAATATCGAATATCATTTTGTCAGCGCTTTTTACCAACAATGAAATGGCTATAATGCGAAATAAGGAACTAGTACATGGGCAGGACACTTAGATCAAGCTGGCTGTGTTCTTGGAAGACCGATATCTGACGGGACAAGACGCTCAGTTCGTTGACCTTGTTACAGAGGACTTGGAGAGATTTCTTGAGGTTGGAGATGAAACAAGGTAAGGCCACAACGATTTAATTTTATGGATGACATCCTCTGAAGACTCCCAAACTAGTGCGCGCGGGCAAATAAAAAACATCCGGCCAAAAATAAAAATGCTACCAAACCACAGGAATACAAAGCTGGTATTGTGAATTTGTGGCAGTTCCCGGCGACGTACATCTACATCCTACATGTCAAGCTGGCACATGCTGGCTTTTTGTGGAATTTACGAATCGGCACTGCATGTATCTACCGAGTTCTTGAGTTGTGGAACTTCGGCAGCCTTGGTGCCAATCATCCAGAGTTACCACCGGCTCTGTTAGCCTCCTTCGCAGTCTTGTTGGGCGTCAGCGTTTTTCTTTGAGCGACGCAAGTAATATGCCGCCGCGAGGGACGATAAGCTGTCGAGGGAGTTTTTGCCACGGAAAGAAGGTTTCGCGCTCCAACAAGACTGCTTCCAGTCGGCGACTAAAAAGGGCTATTAAAAAACACTTAGGACCGATTGGTATGGATGTGTGAACTTCCCGCAATAAACGCCACCAGTGCAGGGAGGTGTTCACGCCCCGTTGCTGGACGAGCCAAAAGTTGCAACTTTCCTAGCCGCCAACCCGTCGGTAGAATGCCAACCATTCCCGAAAACCGAGCCCTATCCACTCGATCAACAAAATCCCGTAGTCATTGCTGCTTATTTTAACGAAAACAACTTTGAACAGATCACTACCACAGGAACCCGCACGCTAAACTGTGATATTGCTGGGGGACGTGGACAGATAAACAAAGTGCCGCTATGTTGTTTGGTGGCGGGTTGATCTCACTGGTCATGGGAGGGTTACGCACCCCTCCACAGCAAGTTGCGTAATAGAAAGTACGGCAAAGTTTGTCTTGGTTTTTTTCTTTGCATGGAACGCTAAATATGCACAACATTTACCAATGTTCACTCTTTCTCTGTTGGGACCGTCCGAACTACAATGCAAGCTACTAATAAAACCAAACGTTGACAAAGGCGAGCGCATGTCAGCCTTCTCCATGCGTATCTGTGAATTACCCTTGCGCGGACATGTGAATTGCCCCTGCACAAACATGTGAATTGCCCCTGCGCGAACATGTTAATAGCGAGTCTCTGAAATGCTGGCTTAATCCAAGGCCCTTTTTAGTCGCCGACTGGAAGCAGTCTTGTTGGAGCGCGAATCCTTGAAGTTCTCTCCGCGGCAAAAACTCCCTCGGCAGCTAATCGTCCCTCGCGGCGGCATATTACTCGCGTCGCTCACAGAAAAAAATAACGCCGATGCCCAACAAGACTGCGAAGGAGGCTACGGCTCTGTATTGTCGCTAACTACCATGGGCTACCCAGGACTAGAGCCAGGCCAGCACCTCGGAGGACGTGATTTTTACCTTCGCCAAGAAGGTTATGTTTTCAGTAGCGTTTGTCTGTCTGTTTGTTTGTTTGTTTGTCTGTGAACAACATAACTCAAGAAGCTTAATATGGATTGTCATGAAACTTGGTATGTGGGTAGGTCTTGATGAGTTCTAAAAATGATTAGATTTTGGGCCCCCTGTCGGCTTTTGTTGGTACTGCAGCAGAACTTCCAGTTTTGATATCTCGCAATCTAGACATGCTAGGGTCACGAATTTTGGTTGGTAGATAGCTCTTGGGGTAGGGAAGAAATGACATGAGTTTGGGCCCCCTAGCAGGTTGTTCTTGAACTGCAGGAGAGTTTCTTGAAAAAATCTCTGAAGGTGGATATAATTTAAGAACCGGTTGACGGATTGTCATGATTTTTTCATGATGAGCACTTATAATTCCATCTGTCTCTGATGTCTAATACATGTTTTGTACTTATATAATTCCCATTCCCACTGCAGAGTGTTGGTATTCCCAGCAGTGAACAACTTCCACCGTTTCCTGATTCACAAGACAGTTGATGACTTCTCCTCGCTGGCCAGCTACTCTGTGGGGCAGGGGGAGGAGCGCAGGACTGTGGTCTGTTTCCTGTCCATCAGGTATGGAGCCAGGCCAGGCAGCACAGATTAGAGCTGCGTACCGGTCCACCTACGGACCGTAAAAATAGTATCGGTCCGGTCCGATAAAACCGAAACATCGGTGGACTGTTTTTTTGGACCGGAACAAAAAATTAATAGTTACATGTATTATTACTTGATCACTACACACAAGGAGGTCTGCCAGGAAAATGAACATCCAGTGTTAAAATTAAGAGATTTAAACAACTTATGACGTTTTGTCCCAAGTTGAGTATGGGTCACTAAGAGGGTGACTGAGAACTAGTGAGAAGTGAGATAGGAAACCTAGTTACATTATCCATGGTTATATTTGATGTTCTTTGAAAGATACAGGACAAATTGTCAACACTTTATTAATGTTTCTGTCATTATTAAAGAATTTCAGTAGAACATGTGACGCGCGTGAATTTTCAGGTACAGGTACAGGTCCATACCTGGACCTAAACCTCTGTACCTGAACCTGATGTTACAAAAAGGTACGCAGCCCTAGCACAGATCCTTCTACATCATCACAGAGCTCAAAATACTGGGTGCATGTGCACCTTAGTGCAGTCCCTCCATGGTGCACCCAAATTTGGAGCTGTGCACCAATTTTTTCTGTGGGTGCACCAGTGCACAAAACTATTTTTGGAGGTATTTTTGTACATAATTATCAAACTATAACAGCATTGCAGGATATTCTTGGCATCACTTGTTTAAGATTTTGAAGTTAGCTCCCATCTCAGATTCAATTGCTGAAATTGCACTTTACAGTGAGTGAGTGAGTGGTTTAACTTCATGTCAGAGCCAGCTAAATTATCATGTACCAAATATATATTATTTCAAGCACTAGAATGCAAACTGAATTGTAAGGAAATCTTATAAAAGAATGAACAACATTTGAATTTTATTTCATCTTTAAACCTACAAACAGGAAAAAGACCAATATACATATTATGCACACGACGACAAATTTTAGGTAACAATTGCTTGGAAATTTATATTATTTATATTTATATTCTGTAATCATATGTTGAAAACGAGATACACTTTCTACTTGACTGTACAGCCAAGAACTATTCGATAAGAATGTAAGAAAATGTCAAAGTAGGACATGTTTAAACACTTGATGTCATACAAGAACGAATGTACAGTAGACAAACTATGTAATTATGTTTCCAAATGTTTCAAAAAGAGAGAAGAAAGGGCAACTAACAGTAGATGATAGGTAGTTTATAGCATTATTGTCATGATTGTAATGTATAGATTCCTAGCACTTTGCATTAGAATATAGCGTACCAGTATGAAATACTTATGTTTTACATACTGGACATCCTCTTGTGCATTTAGTCCATCTGGGCAAGAACATGCAATAATAAAAATTCATATCACATCATATCATTAATGATGCACTGACCAGTATCCCTCCCATATTTCGATGGATGACAGGAAGATGCCAGGGGAATTAGAGCCATCGAAAGAGAAGAAAATGGCACAAGATTGGCGCAGGGGTCAAAGGGCACAAGAGTTGGATTGCGAAGATGACCGGACACAGAGCATGCCCAGTAGAACCTCAGCCGGAACATCACAGGCTGAGACTCCTGCTCGGACTAGAGACAGGTGAACAGTCAGCATGTTTATCTTAATAAAGGTGTCGTTGTTGTCCTTGTTTAACATCTAATATCTCGCTAGACGCGGTCTCTTGGTCCTGGTTTGCCCTTGGTTCAGTTCAGAGTCAACTTAGCTTGTCTCTAGGTATTTAACCAACCACTAAGTATCTGATACCAGCCCAGAGAAGAACAAGAAACAGTCATGCCTTCAAATACCAGAGTTATCAACCAAGAATTGAGGTATTCAAAAACTTGTATTTCCCCAGAACTATCGTAGACTGGAACTCGTTGCCACCAAGCACAGTTGGGGCATCATCACTAGAAAGCTTTAAACAACTCCTTCAATCAAATGTGCAAAGATTGAGTGTAACAAGTCGTTTGGTGTGATATAGCTAGTTGCCTCCGCGCCGCGTGCCTGCGAAGCTGGTGTGTTATGGCCAACATCAACGTGCTGATGGCTTTGCCACGCTTGTTTGGTTGGTGAGGTCAGAGGTCACGGTAGTATGTTGATGTTTTTCAATGGTCTTGTTTTGGCATGTAAATTGAGTATAGGGACTGTCACTCATATTGTCTGAAAAGGGCTTCATTACTTTTTACGTTTGTTTGTTCACTTGTCCAGACGAACCAGGAGACCAGAGGTACAGATGTATGTGCCCCGCCCCATGAGAAACAGGCTGAAGAAACAAGAGGACACCATCAACCCACCAGGGGCAGGTTCTGCTGACGCTAACCAATCAGGAAAAGAAAGGGGAGCATCTGAAATAAAAGACAAGAAGACAAGACAGCAAAGTAAAGGTAGACAAGAGCGAGAAACTTTAAATGAAAGAGGAGAAAAATTTCAGAAGAGTCACAGAGAAAGCACGCCAACGAGATCAAAGAAACACAGATCAGCTAAGGAGCACACACAATGCAATGACAGAGGGAAGATAGATGATGGACTAAGGCAGAGGGAGACAAAAGAACTAGCTAATGTAAAACCTAACTCACACAGGAATGACAGACAAGTATGTAGAAAAGAGAGAGAAAATGTCAAGAAAACAGCTGAGATTGCAAGGTCAACAGAAGAAGAACTGACACAGCCCTGTGCCGTGGCAGCAGCTTCCTATTGTGATGAAACAGAAACTCTGCAAAATTCAAAGCATTTGCACCTCCCTGAGCAGATGGTAGCATTCAAGGAAACTCCAGGGAAAGATGAGACAAAGGATGTTTCAAATGTGTACTCACTTGAAGAACGGCAAGTCATTGAAGATTCCGACACTTTAAGACAAGAGAATGTTATCGGTTCCACTGGTTCTAAATCTGCTGAAGGTACTTCCTCACCCAAAGTCCCAAATAATGAAGGACAGAGTTTCTCTAGCTTTGACATGCAAAGAAAGGCTACCTCTGTGTCTACAGATGTCAGAATGTCTTTTGAGGATGATTCAGGAAAGACAGAATTGTGTAATGAAGTAGTTCTAAAGGATCGACTCACAGAGACTAAAAATCTGTCCAGCAAAGAGTACCAAGGTGATCAGTCCCACGCACCTGAGCAAACATTTAATGGCATTGATATTGACAGTGGTCTAACTAGTAACAAAAGGAATAGAGACAGAGGTGGAAGCAAACCTGGCACCACCAGCTACATCCACACAGCTGGCTGGAGACAAAACTCCAAATATTAAACATGTTCCTGCTGACACCAGAAATGTTACTGACGGTGAAGATATGACGCCTGGTAGTGAAACTCCTTACCCAGAAGAAATAGCTTCAAGCTCAAGAGCAGGGGAATACACTGGTCTCACAGACAAACAAAATTCTGACTATACTGAAGAAAATACACCTCCAGAACTAACACCACCAGAAAACAGCCTTGCTCAGAAAAGCCCCAGGTATCATGAAAATGATGATGAGGATAACAGTGAGGAATTCTGGGATGCAGCAATGGATCCTGAAGATGATGATGTCATGACAGGAGAGCAGGAGGCCAGCTGTGAGGATGGACAGAAGGGCGTGGCTGTTGCCATGGAAACAGATGAAGACAGCTGGGATGCCATGTTTGATGATGATGGGGAATGTCTCAATCCTGATCAGATGAAAGAGGTAAGGGTTAAACAAAATAAGACAACTAGAAAGGCAGACATTTACTTTGGAGCAAATGTAGCGGATGGCTTCACCACATTTTACGACATGGCAGGGAAAGAAGGAGAAATACAAGGGAAAATTCTTTACATTGATATAACTATAGTTTGAAGTGACAACAGTTGGATAGCTACTTGGGGATATTTGCCCACTCTACCTTCATGTCAAACTTCGTGTTATTTGGCCCAAAAATGAAGGAGTTGAATCAGTTTAAAGAAATGGAAGAAGAAGGAGGAGAAGAAGCATGAGGAAAAACAATATGTCTTCACCGCATAGTGGTGAAGCCATAAAAAGTAAGGCAAACTAGGAAAGGCCAACCTCTCCCTCCCCATGCAAGAATGGACTGATCCAAAGTCACCCCTGTGCAAAAGTGGAACATTCCATACTAAAAATGTTCCTCCCCCTTCAAGAATTGACTCCTCCAATACCAGGGCACTGGAGCCCAAAATATACATTCTTAGACTGAATCAGATATAATTACCTTCGCCAAGAAGGTTATGTTTTCAGGGGCGTTCGTGTATGTGTGTGTGTGTCTGTCAACACGATAACTTGAGAAGGTCTTGATGAATTGTCTTGATACTTGGTAGGTGGGTAGGTCTTGATGAGACCTCAAAATGATTAGATTTTGGGCCACCTGGCGGCTTGTCATGGTACTGCAGCAGAACTTCCGGTTTTGATATCTCATGATCCAGACAGGCTAGCGTGACGAAATTTGGATGGTAGATAGCTCTTGTGCTGGGGATAAAGTGACATGAGTTTGAGCCCCCTAGTTGCTTGCTCTAGAACTGCAGGTGGGTTTAATGGACAAATGTTTAAAGGGGGATAACTCAAGAACCGATTGATGGATCATTGTGATTTTTGGTATGTAGGTAGCTTGAGTGATGCTTGACATAATGATATTACAATTTTGCAAATATGGATGTAATTTGCATAATTAATGAGGAAATTCTATTTATCAGCTACATTCCATAATAGGAAGTTCAAGCTTGTGACATATGTTAATAAGAATGAGAGAAACACAGGTAGATATCGATTATGCAAATGAAGACTCAATTTGCATAATTAATGAGAAAATATTATAATTGCAAAGTGGTAACTGCCTGGAATTTTATACTTGGGGTGTTTGAAAGTTAAGTTAAGGTGAACATAATTAAACATAACTTATTCAAATAAGGACCTCATTTGCATAATTTATGAGAAAATGTCATCATGGCATTCTTTGTTAAGACTGTCTTTTGGTGGAGAGTATGATCAACAGATATAATTCATGCAATTGAGGATCCTATTTGCATAATTAGGGGGATTAATATATAATTTCTTAATCATAAAAGCTAACATCATTTGGCGAAGGTATGAGATCGTGGAACTCTAGTTATAATTGAAAATTCCCAAGTAAATAATTTTGAAAGGGTGTAAGCCAAAGTTGTGATTAAAGTTATTTGGGCATACAAAATGTATGCAGCGTGCAAAACACCTGGTTGCCCAGTTGCCCCGGGCAACCAAATTTTACTTGGGGCAACCTACTTTTGAACCTAGCTATATATAGGTAGCCCAGTGTGCTACCTGAATTTTAAGAATGCCCCCCCCCCCAAATCATGTCCACTTGGCTTGCACCACTGTATCCGGCAGATGCTTTTTAATTTTAGGTATTAATGGCTATTACTATGTAGTATCAGTTAACTAAAGGCTGTTAGAAATGTTGTCGAAGGCTTATGTATGTAACATTACTTAATTTGAGGAAAGTAGTAACTTATAAGTGTGACAACCTAAAATTCTGATGGGCAACCTAATCTTTGCCTTAGGTTGCCCACCAGGTCATTTCAGCTCAAAGGAGAAATTAAATCCATTTGCTAAAATTGGCAGAAAAAACATGTCAAACTAGAAAGTGTTCAATTTGGTGGAAACCTTAATTCTTAGTGGTAGCCTGCACCTGGTGTCCAGTCTATCCAAGCCTGATCCAATCAGTGCACAGTGAAGACAGTTAAGTTCAACTTCTGTTTAATCCAGGATGTTTGAAACTTGTCTTACGTTACAGTTACTGGCGGGTGTTAAGACAGTTAAGGTGACAACACAGAAACCTAAACATGACTACTGGAACTGGAAACCCAAGGAAGTCCAGCTGGAGGAAGGTCAGATTTAGAAATTTATATATTTATTTATTAAGTTTTACCACATACAATATGCACTGTGGATGGCATGGCGAAACAGGTGTTTCTGACATGAAATACCTTTTCAAAGCCCCATACCAATAAAATGACAAAACAATACAAAAAGTAATCAAATCGCATAATACAATTCGAGAAACAAATGAATAAACTTAGAACTACAAGGCAAGTCAACTTTAGTTATTAACATTGTGAGAACGTCTAACCCTCGGAAGACGGGGAACAACAGACAATAAACCGGACAGTGAGTGAGTGAGTGAGAGTTATTGATTCGAGACAACAAATAACGACAGTTATATAGCCAGCAGTGATATCACAGTTATATTATTAGCGCGGTCTTGTGGCCAGACAAGTAGCGCAACCACAAGATAACTGCCACGTACAGGGTTGCTCTAAACTGTAGGTTTGGCAAAATCTGTTATACATAAATGAGGAGAGTTTCCTCTTAAAGGCAACCACATCAGTTAGGATTGAATCCCTAATTCCTAACCCTCTAGTATCTGCATCAAGCTTGTTCCAAATCGTTGTAACACGTGGTATAAACGAAGATGCAAAAGAGGATGATTTTACAAGACTTGTTGGAACTAGCATGTGTGCCCTACAGTAGAGCTGCGGGGTGTTCTTGAAGAGAAGTCAGCCAGCCTCGCATGTTTGATAAAATTATTGTAACTCTTGACTGGATTTTAAAAATTATAAGATACCAGTAACCAAAGGCTGACACACAAGCAGTGTTCCACTTCATATTATCAAGCTCACTCTTGTACTAGGTTTGTACTGTGACGTTACAAATTATAAAATGATAGAATATATTAAGTTTTTACAAGTCATATTTTTTTGTCTGCAGGATATGAACATATTGTGGAACTATCTGACTTTCCATCTGAATTCAAGACACCAGATCTTGTCTCCGCCCTGGCAGAATTCCAGTAAGTCACACAGCTTTGAATTATTTCACAAATTATTTATGCCACAGCAAGTAATTTTTATGGATGACATTAGCGCACGCATTAATTTTTGCCTGATTTTGGAAAAAAAATGTTTGCCTTCTGACATTGGTCAACAACATTTATAATTGCTGAAAATGGGCAAAGATGTCTGTTGCTATCCCGGAAGGTGGATGGCCGATAACTATGAAGAGAGGAGACAAGAAAAGACTCTGATTTAATGTTTTATTTCTTACTTTGATGCAGGGATATGTGATGCTGGCTGTGTATATGTGATGTTCCCACTGAATCAAAACCATTTGTACAATAATTATGATTGAGTCAAAAGTTAAAAATGTAGGAACCTTGTTTTTTTCACCCGCTCGCATTAGATTTGGAGTCTGCGGAGGATGTCATCCATAAAATTGACTTGCTGTGGCCTTATGCCTGAGTCTCAGTTTTCCATTATATGCAACATAATGATACATTTTTGGACATACAACATTTACAATCCATGTATATTTTTGGTTCCTCACATATTTACCTTTGACTGACCACGTTTAGATCTCAGGGCTTCAACATAAAGTGGGTGGACGACACTCATGCGTTGGCAGTGTTTTCCACATGTGCAGTGGGTATGTCACTTCAACTGTTTTCTGTTGTTTAAAGTTAAAACTTTTGGTCCAACAGAAAAAATTCTCTCATCTAGAGCTTTCGACCAGTCACTCTGGTCTTCCTCAGTAGACTGACCCAGTGAAGCTTGTCACGTGGCTTCTTTGAAGTGTGACGTCAACACTGGGTCAAAGGCATCTGTTAGACGATGTCGGCCCCCGTCACGGTTCAATGTAGGGTAATGGGCCCTGATGTATATGGCTTCCTTCACCCCTCACTAGAAATAGTCTTGTCTACTGAGGAAGACCAGAGAGACTGGTCGAAAGCTCTAGGTGAGAGAATTTTTTGTGTTGGAACAAAAGTTTTAACTTTAAACATGTAACTACCAACACAGATGAACTTTCATGATAGTGTTTTCTGTTGTAGTAGGGCTGGATTTTTATTGATGATGTCATCTTCATACTTCATACATACATAGAAATTGATATGAGATTTTTATTGATGTCATCTTCAGACTTCATACATACATAGAAATTCATATGAGAGGGCAGAAAAAAAGATGCCTGACTTTCAACATGTACTGTGAGTGCAGAAGCTTCCACATGGACATATTTTGTGGTATGAGGAAAAATGTGGTTTTTGGAGTGTTTAAATTTACTTTGTTTGAAATTGAAACAACTTTGTAGTATTGCGGACTCAGGCCACACCAATTTAATTTCTTGGTTAACGGATTTTTCTAGAAAAATAATGGAGCGGGCGGGCGAAAATAAAATAAAAAACAGGCCTAGGCATCCTACATTGTATTATGGCCCAAAATGGTACGATAGGAGCCATGAAGTCAACACACCAGGCTGGTTCAAAATTTAAACAATGAATTTTGAACTTGAATTTATGGGTGCACGGTCACATCAGTCTGGCCTAGTCTATATAATATATACTACCACTATGAGGATTCTATAATGAAAAGAACTAATTGTGTTACACTGCCCTTTATGTTAGAATTAAGGTGGATGAAACTTCATGCAACTTGCTGAAATCATCATTTTAGTAACTACAAACTCTACATTAATTTTATTGTAAACAGTCTCGGATACATCGTAACAGTGTAATGTAGTATTCTGACATGTTCTAATGTTCTTTTTCAGCAAGAAGAGCTTTACAAATAACAAACCCACTACTAAGAGTTAAGCCCATGTCTGAGGCAACTGAACAGTCTAAGAAAAAGGCCAAGAATTGTGCAGGTAATGTAATGTTGGACTTGTACATAATTATATACAGAAAACATGAATGTAGGTACCTAATTACCTCCATGAAAAATGGAGGTAATGTTTTTGACGCGTCTGTGTGTGTGTGTATATATGTGTGTCTGTGTGTGTCTGTGTGTGTGTGTGTTTCCGCACATTTGTAGTCAGCATAACTTCAGAATGCCTTTATGGATTGTGATGATATTTGGTATGCTGGTAGGTCTTAGGAAGCTGAAGGTCAAGGTCAAATATGGTGGCTGACCTTGGTACTGCAGCAGAACTTTTGTATTTTGAGGGAAAACAGATGTGCCGGTTATGCAACAAAACACCAGCTGTCAAAGACTTCTAGCACAAAACACGTGTGGTCAGGCAGCGCGCCTACCCGGTTTGATTGATGTTCTCCCTCTGGAATAGACTACATGTACTGAGTTGACAGCCTGACCTATTTTAGGACAAAAACCTGTGTTATTTTGTTCTGTACTGTAGTGTAGTGAACTGTGTAAAAACATTTACAAAAACTCATATATTTCATGGAGGTTTGAGATCTCCGAATTCTTGTTCAATAATGGGCTGATTTGTACAGGCCCAAAAGTGTAATTTTTTTGCGTGCAAACAAGCCCGCCACCACTGCCCTACATATTGGTTTTCCTGTGGCACATCCAAGGTGCATCACATGCGGTGGTGGGCTTGTTTACTAGCCTTCGTAGCAGGCTTATAGAACTGGGGGTGTGGTGGTCTTCGGCTGTTTTCTGAAAAATGGGGGTAATTCAACCAGGCCGGCTATGTTGTCTATAATATGCAATCAGAAAACAGCACATAAAAGAACCAAAAAACCGTGAAGACTCCCAAAACCCCAGTTTTTGGCATGCTATGGAGGCTACTTGTTTACATGCTCAAAAATATACATTGCGCATCGTTCATCATACCGCGTACCGGTAAGCAAAATCACTGACCTCTCCTGTGTGTGTGTGTACCAGCCATATGCATGCCTGCGTCCTGTGTGACTGTGTACCCTTGTGCAGCCTCCACATAGAACGTGGAGACCACCACGGTTACAATATGTACCCCAATTTCCTACATTAATAATGTATAATGATTATTTACAGAGTTCCTCCAACCCTTCAAGCCACGTCCCGAGGCCTCCGCTATGGTTGCCCGTCGACTGGTCAGCGGAGCCCTGGGTGTCAGGGCCAGCATACCCAAGGAAAAACGTGACGAAGAGAGGCGCAAACTTAAAGAGGCCAAAGGTCATTATCTTTATTTTTATTTGTTTATCTTGTAGTATTCTAGCTTCTATATTTGTAACTTCAATCTCAAATTTAAAGGAGTGAATTTATTTTTGGTGTGTTTAATTTTGACTTTTATTAGAGTCTCTGTTAAGATGGAATTGTAGCAAGCAGTTATTTGTATCCGTCTCTAGTTTGAGATGCCATCTGTAGTTTGAGATGCCATCTGTAGTTTGAGATGCCATGATTGGCAATACTTCTGATGTTTGATAATGATTGTGATGAAACTAAGCTTCATCTCTTTTTCACAGAACGGAAAAGACTGGAGATAGAACAGAGAGAAAGTGCATGGGAAGGAAGATAGCACCATAGGTTTTTTAAACAACCCAGGCCTGCTCTTGTAGAACAAGCTGATAGGGGGCAAAACTTAATATGTTATATGTACAATGTAGCCTTTTCCCAAGCTACATGTATTACTAAAAAATCTTGATATACTAAGTAGCATGTTCAAAACATAAGATCTGGAAGTTCCGCTATGGTAACAAGCCGCTGGGGGCCCAAGATTTAATCATTCTGAGGTCTCATAATTACCTTGACCTATCATTACCATGATCCAAAGATTTCTCAAGTTATGCTATTCCCAAACAAACAGTCTCAAAAACATAACCTTCACGGTGAAGGTAACAAAAGGTCAAAATACTAAATACCTAAGGTATACCTAAGGTCTTAAAGTTTGTGACAATAAGAAATGTGTGATTTCTAGCTATCCCAACAATGTATGTTGTAAATGTAAGTTTTGTTTTCATGTCATCGGAAATTTTTCCCAAACTTTTTGCAGGTGTTAAAGATTAAGAACTTTTTTTTGCCATTAGCAGAAGATCAATTGTGTTACTGAACATTTTCAAGTTGCATAGATATTTTTCTGAATAAGGAAAACGTCCACGATTATTTGTTTTTACTGCACCTTTTGAAAACCTCACTTGTGTGTGGTTTGTACACAGTGTATGCAAGTGCAACTTTCAAGCTATTCCATTTAACTGTTTCTTAAAATTTTGTATATGTTACAGTAACTGTTGTGTCAAGAATTGCATATTTGAGAGGGGGTAAAACTGTGGAATAAAATGTTTGCCAAGATTACAAGTGTCATTGAGGAAATATGTTGTCAGCAAAGACCACCAATTTTTACAGTGAGCCTGAATGAAATCAGAGTGATTTTGTGCAAGTATAAAGAAACAACAAGAATAAATAAACAACATTGCTAAATTAAATATAGTGTAGCATTGGCTGATAGTAATCTGACCTTAACCCTCAGCCATATACAATGTACCTTGAGTACATACTTATCCCTATGCTATATTGTTCCATCAGATCATTTGGATGGAATAGTACAGTACATGTATAGTGTATAATACCCCAGGTGTACAAATGTCCGTATGATGAGGTGTATCGATGTGGATTAAATGCAACTGAAATTCACGCATAATTAAAATATCAATTTTAATCAAATGAAGTTCTTTAAAATTTGCTTATAAATGCTTTTAATGTGGTCCATGACTACATGGGCACATTGCCTGGTCACAAAATGTTCATGAGATAAATTATCAAACTTCTAACCTCCCTGCTGCAAAATCTTTATTGTTTACAAGGTTAGGCAGTAAGAAAAAGGCTAATATACAATCATGTTAACTGTCCTCACAGCAAGCATTGAAGATTAACTGTCAAACTTGAATACAGAATCTATTATTGAACTGTATACCAACCACCATACTACATGCACTAATAAGGCCACACCAATTTAATTTGTTGTTTCTCAGATTCGCCATGTCCATTTTTTTCTGATTTGCAAAAAAAAAAACATTTGGTTCTACATCAACTGCAAAATGCTCAATGAAAGACATATTTTGGCCCTAACGGTTGAAGAAAGTCCTTTTCTTCATAGTTTTTCGATGTAACAATGCAATTTTGTTTCATTAAAAGTTCAAAATCTATTTATTAATTATAAACCAGCCTGGTATGTTCACTCTATGGCTCATATTGTAACATTTCCAGCTATCATGGGGTGCCTTGGCCTCTTTTTTTATTATTTCGCCTTGTCGCTTCTTTTTTTTTCTTAAAAAATCCGAGAAACAACAAATTAAATTGATGTGGCCTATTCTCTAAATGTCATTTTAAGCATCCAAACTTCTCTCTGTGTTAACATTTTTCTCACAAGTTTGTCTTAATCATAACATGAAGTTGCTACCTTAGTCCCTTGCTAGTGGTGCACAGAACAGAACTTTGTTATTCGTTCTAAGAATTATTTTGAGCAGCGTTCAGTTCTCCTTGCTAAACTTTCCTCCATTCCCTCGAGCTCTGGCCATGGCATGTTTGTGACGCGACTCGTAGAGGTACTTCTGCAAAAAATACATGTATCACACTGGTATGACATAGACATCTGAACATAGACAAAATATCCAGGTCACACTGACAATTATTTTGCATTTGACTGGAATGAGTCTACAGGCCTGGGGCCAACTTGCACTGGTGCAGATGAAAAAAAAAATACGTAGAAGAAATATAGTTGCACCCGCCAAAAATAATAGGTACACAACCAAAAGTACATGTACATGTAGTAACTTTAATAGCATTCAATATTTGCTTACACTATTAACCTACTAAAGCGACGTAGATAGTAAGGCCACATCAAGTAAATTTTATGGATGACGTCCTTTGGAGACCCTAAATCTAATGCGAGAGGGCAAAAAAAAAAACAAGAAGGGCCCTAAAAACAAGATGCCTAGATTAGAAATATACTGAGAGACGACAAATGTTAGGACACAAATTGAATGAGGTGACACAGTGTAACAAGCAAGAAGTCTTTTATTTATCATCAAAACAGCAATAAATCAGGTGGAACAGCAGTTGTCGTCCTGTGCTTTTTGGGGAGATAGATGGAGCGGTCAGCAATTTTCTTCAAATGTGACAGCATGTACCAAACTGAATTCCTAATGGAAGTCTTGCTTGATGCTTTATAAGCTTTGGTCCGTACAAACCTATTTGCGGCACTGTCGTAACTATTTGGTCATAGTTACAGGAAGCGGAATTTCTTGTTTTTTTTTCTAGGAACAGGCCAAAATCAATGCGCGCGCGGACGTCATCCATAAAATTTACTTGGTGTGGCCAAACCTATTAATTACAAAAAATGAAGAAAAACTTCCTGGATTCTGGTTTTGTTGAATTTGTTCCCTTTCCAGTTCTTTATTGGATATTTCTACAGGTTGTAACAGTGGATGAAGCAAACTTGCACCGGAGCAAATTCTGAAAGACAGGTCTGATGAACCTGCTAACAGGCACAAGCCTATAAGGCCTAGAAAAAATGTTGTGTTTCCAGACTGATCCTAGAAAATACTGCCAACCCTAGCATTTTTTTGGATTGACCCCTGCAAGGGACATAAATTTCCAAGCTGATCAACCTTTTAGTGGCTATAATTATTGGACACCTTGCATGGTGATGAAATGTGTTCAATAGGTTTTCCAACATTGACTATTATATTATAATATTGAATATAAGTGTCCTCAAGAAAATTTGTTACACTGTATTTTTTAAGTTATTAGTTGGGTCACTAGAGATTACTAAAAGAAAGAAGGAAAAAAGATAATCCCTGCCTACTGAAACTTTTTTTTCAGTAAGGCCACACCAATGTAACTTGTTGTTTCTTGGATTTTTTCAGAAAAAATATAAAGCGACGGGGGAAAAAAAACAAAAAAACAGGCCAAGGCACTCCAGGATACCCAGAAAAGTTACGATATGAGCCATGAAGTTGAAGTCAACATACCAGGCTGGTTTATAATTAAAATGATTTTGAACTTTTAATTAAACAAAGTGGCATTGTTACATTGAAAAACTTTAACAACTAGAAAGAAAAGGAGTTTCTTCAACCGTTGGGGCAAAAATATGTCTTTCATTGAGCATTTTGGACTTGATTCAGAACCTAAAATCTTTTTTTTTGCAAACCAGGAAAAAATAGGCAAATCCGAGAAACCACAAATTAAATTGACGTGGCCTGAACGGGAAACATGTAGGTGAGGCTCCATACATATACGTAACAGTTCTTTAACTTGCGTAAGTGCAACATGAATTCATGATGCTTATTAATTACTAGTACCTTCCTCATCTTGGGGATCTTCCCAGACGCTTCCAGCTTGGCTCTCATCTCCCTGCGTTTCATGATGCGGTGGTACTGCTTACCATTCACATACAGGGGCTCTTCTTCTGGATCCCAGCCTGTAGTCTGCCTCACTGCAGTCATGTGGAGTTGTGCTGCAGTCAAGCTGACTGCAGAAGGTTCAACAGGGAAAATATACATTGTATTTGGCTCAGAGCTTTGCTGAGGTGGAACTGACTAAATGTTACCTGAGTTTGTTTATTGAGATCTTCATTAGATTGGAAGTTAACTCCATACTAAACTCTTCCTGGAGTCCAGCAAAATGAAATGAAATAAGTCCATAAAATGAAATAACAATTATTTATTATAATAATAAATTACTTTTAGCAAATAATGATAAATAAAACATACAAATCATACTGAAATTATGACAAACTTGAAACAGAATCAATCATAGGAAAAAAAAGTGAATTGGAGGTCAAATAATAGAATATGTATGAAATGAAAGTAATAATCGATGTACTTTCCAATCAATACAAAATTGAAGTACCAAAACAGTAAACAAATATTTGAACTGACATAAATTTATAGCAAAAAATATGAATAACAAATGAATCAATATACACTCAGCAAAATATGATTCCTTTCAATTAAATGATTAAATAATGACTAACAAAAGAATAGATCTCACTCAAAACTTAGTGGAACAAAGGCAAGAGTGTAGTAGTGCAAGCTGTATGCAGAAAAAAACACACTTTGATTCCTAGCATGCCTTTTTCCATCATACATAGCAACTCTAGCAAGGTATATTTTAATTCATTGCTAATTGTAGCTCACTCACTCTAATTCTAAGTCGAATGCTTTTCATATATGGCCAATTGTCCAAAGACAGGTTGACCAAGAGATACAAGGGAGCAATTCAAGGCAGTTTACAATATACACAGTTCTGTTACACTCGAGATTTCAATGCCCCGTCTAGGAAAAGTCGGCACAATCATTCTGATGTCAGCTCCAGGAAAAGCACAGAAATGCAGAAATAAGATATAGAGATGCAAAAAGATATGCCTGAGGTGGGCGATTGGGAAGCTTGCTGCAGCGTCTCCAAAACTTTTGGAAGGCCGTACAAACTCCATTTCTCAGCCATCATGATTAAAACCCAACTTATATTTACTTTTTTAATTTGATACTTCTAACATAATGTGTGTATTTTACCAACTTTTGTGTATGTCATATTAGTGGTATCCAATCCTGTTCTTAGACTAGCTCTAGTCTTGTCTAGTACTGCTTTTACCCAGAATAGTCTTAGACTAGCAAAAAATTAGTCTAATATGTCAGACTGCATATTTTGGGATGGAATATTTCTCATACTCATAGATAGTGCAACAGGGTGCAATCAAATTACCAAATGCCTTAGCCAATCAAAACTCTTGCCCATATTATATTTGAGGTGAATTTTTACCTTTTATATCTATTATTATAGCAGGGCTCGAAATTCATTTTGGGGAATAGGTGCACTGGTGTACCCAACCTACAAAATTGGGTGCACAAAATATATTTTAGGTGCACCATATAAGATAAAATAAATAGAATGTCAGCAAAAACTAATTATGTTTCATTTCTCAAGTATTATATATTATACTTTTCTTGATAAATGAAACACTATTTATTTTATCTTATATGGTGCATCTAAAATATTTTTGTGCACCCAATTTTCTAGCTTAACGTAAACTAATGAAAATAATTGGGTGCACTGGTGCACCCACAGAAAAAAATTGGGTGCACAGCTCCAAATTTGGGTGCACTAAGGTGCACATGCACCCAGTATTTCCAGCCCTGTATAGCGTTAATGGATGCCAAACTATTCTGAAAAGTGATCAGAGGAGCAACCCGGAGCTTAAAAGTAGAATGGATGCCTGGTATCAATTGGTCCTGTCCTTAGTGCTGAAGGACCTTTCCAGTCCTTAGTGCTGAAGTGAATAATGTAAACAAACACTGACATCCATTTGGCAAGACTGAATTGACTGTACCTTTCTGGCCTCCCTTTTCTGACTGGTCTGCCTTGTTCTTAGTGTCCAGTAGCAGCATGCGAGTGGGCACACCGTTGATGAGTAGAGTTGCTGTAACTCCGTCTCCAGCACCAGAAATGGGAACTGCTGATTTCTGTAGCAGGAAGACAAACGGCCATGAGACTGTCAAGACTATTGAACTTGAGTTGATTGATTAGGCCACACCAATTTAATTTGTTGTTTCTCGGATTTTTTCAGAAAAAAATATGAAGCGACAGGGCGAAATAACAAAAAAAAAAAAAACAGGCCATGGAGTAAACATACCAGGCTGGTTTATAATTAAAACAATAGATTTTGAACTTTTAATTAAACTAAATTGCATTGTTACATTAAAAACTTTACGAACTATGAAGAAAAGGTCTTTCTTCAACCATTGGGGCCAAAATATATCTTTCATTGTGCATTTTGCAGTTAATTTAGAACCAACAAATTTTTTTTTTCTTTGCAAATCAGAAAAAAAATGGACAGAGCGATCCGAGAAGCAACAAATTAAATTGGCATGGCCTTAGGGCTAGAAAAAAAATGTTACGTTTCCTGTTTGTTGACCGACCCTAGGCTGTTTTTGGGGGTGGACCCCTGCAAGGGACATAAATTTAAATTTTTCAAGGTGATCAACCTTTTATAGTTCCAGGATCTGACACCTGAGTGATACTGAAAACATTGCACAATTGGTTTTCTAACATTGACAATGAAAATAAAAGTGTCATCATGCAAGATTTTATATGTTAAACTGTATAAGTTGGACCCCTACATGCTTATAGATATCACTGAAGTTTAAGAAAAAAAAGAAAAAAGAAAACCCCTACCTACCGACTCAGGACTGAAACAGGAAACCCACCTTTTTTTTTTCCTGGGCCATATACAAGCTTAAAGTCTGTTTTCTGTACATACAAATACAGCTGAATCATAAAAACTGATCTAAAGCAATAAAATAATATCATATCGTGATAACCTGATGAATCTAAACATTGTGAAGCATGATTTCATACCTGTCCTGAACCCATGGATAAAAGGTGGGAGGGCTGCAGTGTTGACATGCAACTGGCAGTTGGCTTTGGTGGACTCACAAAGCCGGAGTTGTTATTAACTGTGACTGACGGAGTTGTGTGTGTGTTAATGCCTGCTGTGTGAGAGAAAGATTTGCTCACAGACACAGGCTGTTTAGGGACTGGGTGGTCATATGAACTGGTGTACGGACTAGGAATACTCTGTATGTGGGTGTTATTTGCCAATGATATGATGCTTGCTGATGGAGGTTGCGTTGTTAGGAGGTCATTACTTGAGTGAGTTGTGCCGAGGGTTAACGTTGCCGGTACCTCTACATCAACATGACTGTCCAGGAAAGAGAAAGGTACAAAAGAGGAGGCTGTGGTCTGATTAGGGATGCTGGGTGGAAGGTAGACATCTGGAAACGTAGAGTGGAAGGAGACAGGGTCAGGGGGGAAGGTGGTGATGGAGGAGGGGGGTTCTGAAGTCTCCACGGTGAGGTCTTCAGGCTGTGAGTTGTAGCCATCATATCCGACATTCCCAACTGTAGGCGACTGCATCCTCAGTTCAGCGGAATCTCTGTGCCTGAAATGAAAAACAACAACATACAGTTTAAGAAGCTTTAATGATATGATATGAATCTTTATTGCATGTTCTTGCCCAGATGGGCTAAATGCACAAGAGGACATGCAGTATGCAAAACATGAGTATTGCGTACTGGGACGCTATATTCTAATGCTAATTGCTAGGAATTTATACATTATAACAATACTATATACTACCTATCATCTACTGTTAGTTGCCCTTTCTTCTCTCTTTTTGAAACATTTGGAAACATGATTTATTACATAGTTTGTCTGCTATACATTCGTTCTTGCATGACATCAAGTGTTTAAACATGTCCTGCTTTGACATTAATAAGACCATGTTGATTTGATTATATGGATGACATCCTCTGGGAACCCCAAAACTGATGCGAGCGTGCGAATAAAAAAAGGTTTGGCAACAAAAAAAATTGCCTTCATTATGAAATCTAGGCGGTCATGAAGGTTTAACAAATGACTTAACACACAAAGTACAATTTTATTGGCATGGTGAATAATTGTCTCCTTGTCCCTTGGAATGGATTTTGGTATTCTGCGTCATAAGTATCGTTTTCCAATATTTTTTTTCACTTTACGACATTTTGCAGCTACTTTGTATGATCAAGGACATTCTGATGGAAGCTCCTTGGTATGATTTACAGTATGGTTGAATGTTTTTTTTTGGAATTAGATGAAAATTCATGCGCGCGCGGATGTCATCCATATAATCAAATCAACATGGCCTAATAAGAAAACAAATCCATAGACGTTTATCAAAATTTGCTGTGGAGATAAACAAGAAAGCAATACTACAACTGACAACTTGACTTGTGCAATAAAAATAGTTCTCGGACACAGTTACTAAGGCCACACCGATTTAATTTTATGGATGACATCCTCTGAAGACCCCCAAACTAGTGCGAGCGGGCGAAAAAAATAAAAATCCGGCCAAAAATAAAAATGCTACAAAACCACAGGAATACAAACCTGGTATTGTGAATTTGGCGCATTACATAGCGACGTATACGACAGGCCGACACATGCTGGATTTTTGCGGAATATATGAATCGACACTGCTGTACGTATGTACTGAGTTCTTGAGTCTTGGAGCTTCGGTAGCCTGGCTGCCGTCAACCAGAGTTATCACCACCATGCACTACCCAGGCCTAAAGCCAGGCCAGAGCCTCGGAATACGTGATCTTTTTTTTTTTTTTTTTAGATCGGGCGAAAATCAATGCGCGCGCGGATGTCATCCATAAAATTAAATCGGTGTGGCCTAAGTTACAATCCTGGGTGCCATGCTCTTAGATATACTAGTATAACATAAACTTGTTACATAAACTTATAACGTTAGCTCTTTACTGTCAGCCTGCCAAAATACTAAGTTAACAATATGGTAACAAATTCAGTAACAGAGACCAAGGAATTGACCTCCTAAGACCATTGCAAAGAAGTAGCCTGGTATCCAGTCTGATTCGTGGTCGGGGCCGCAAGAGCTCTGGCCCGCCCGCCTCACATAGGTTTCCCGGTGTGTATTTTCACGAGAGATTGATTAGTACTCTCCAAGCAGAGGTTTNGTTAGCTCTTTACTGTCAGCCTGCCAAAATACTAAGTTAACAATATGGTAACAAATTCAGTAACAGAGACCAAGGAATTGACCTCCTAAGACCATTGCAAAGAAGTAGCCTGGTATCCAGTCTGATTCGTGGTCGGGGCCGCAAGAGCTCTGGCCCGCCCGCCTCACATAGGTTTCCCGGTGTGTATTTCACGAGAGATTGATTAGTACTCTCCAAGCAGAGGTTTGGGTTTGGGGGGTATTTTTAGTGTGTTTTTAGGCTTTTTTATTGGGGTTTCTCTTTTGCACTGAATTTGTTTCCACCAATTTTTTTGGTGGAAAAAAAAATTCAGTGCAAAAGAGA